CCCCGCCCCCGCCGCCATGCGGCCCACCCAGACTGTGCTCTGGCTGCGCCTGACTTTGCCCCTGGGCCTGGCCCTCGTTTGCCCCATGTCTGTGGGGTTGGCTTCGGCCCGGGCCCCCATCTATGTTAGCAGCTGGGCCGTGCGGGTGTCAGAGGGTTACCGGGAGGCCGAGCGCCTGGCGCGCAAATTCGGCTTCGTCAACCTGGGGCAGGTGGGTGGGACCCGATGGACGGGAGGGGGCGGGGACTGGATAACCCAAGACCCTAGGCCCCTACAGACCGGAGGGTGTCTCTCAGGTCCCCTAGGTATCAAGAACTCCCAACCAACCCCTGCCTCGACCAACTTCAGATTCTGGGACTCCCAGAGGGCATCTGAAGCTCACACCAGGGCACTTGGTTGGGGGAGGATGCAAGCAAAGGGGCTGGCCCCCGTCCTGCGGGGGCTCCATCAGGGAAGCCGGGTCCCAGCCATGCTGCTGCTCCCCCATATTCCCAGATCTTCCCTGATGGGCAGTACTTCCACCTGCGGCACAGGGGCATGGTCCAGCAGTCCCTGACCCCGCACTGGGGCCACCGCCTGCGCCTAAAGAAAGACCCCAAGGTGAGCCTGGCCTTGAGGCTACCCCCTCAGGGTCTTAGCCACCCCGTTATTCTTGTGATTGTTATGAATGGCTGTCACCTTTGGCAACTTACCTGCTCTCTCTGAGTCTTGGTTTCCACCTGGCCCTCCAGTCTATAGAGTGGGGACTGAGATAGGGAAGATCTGTGGAGAGCAACAGATCACGCGTGTGCACAGTGCACGTTCCAGTCCCTGGCACACTATCAGCATTTCTTGTCAACCCCCCCTTCCCTCCTCTGTCTCAACCTGAAAAATCTACCCCATAAAGAGTCAGTTAACATTCTAGCTCATGGGATGGAGGGAGGGGAATTGGCCCATTTTGTGATGAAGGAATACTGCGTGAAATCACCCAATGAGACTGGTTGAATTGGGACGAGAATCTCATCTCCCAGTGCTCAGAGAGATGACAGGGAAAAGGCCTTAAATGCCAAACAGGATTTGAGGCTGTCTGGCAAGCCCTTGAGAGCCACAAAGGGGTTTGAACTGGGCTGGGGGGCTGATCGACAAGGAGGCAAGAAGCCTGACTGAAACCTGCCTGGAGTATTAGCAATAGAGAGAACTGGACTGTTAGAGATGTGGTTTGCAAGAGAGAAGACAGGCTTGCTGGTGGATCAGATGCATGGGACAGAGGGAGAGAAATCAGAGCTGGTTTCCAAAACTGCAGCAGAGCAAGTGGGAAGGTGATGGCCCTGATTGCTGAGATGGGGGTAGAGGGACATGAGCTGGTTTGGGGGTAGTGGGGTGGGGAGATCAACAAGGAAGGAGGAAGAGCAAAGGTCTGCGAAAGAGCAGCCTGGGCAGGCAGAACAACATGTGCAAAGGCCCTGAGTGAGGCAGCATGTGGCAACTGCAGAGGGAGGCTTATGAAGGCCAGACAGGCAGGGCCTTGTGGGCCCTGGAGAGGGCAGTGTGGAGCCATGGGAGGGTTTCAAAAAAGAGTATTGCTGCTCTGTGCTGAGAATGGGTTGTAGGGAGCGGATTGGGGGGTCAATCAGAGGACCAGGGGGTGGTAGAGAGCAATGGTCACTGCAGGGGGGAGATGGGCAGGTCTTGGGCAGAGGGATCTAGAACAGGGATGGGAGAAGAGGCAAAGTTAGGACCCCCATCCACCTCAGGCAGTGGCCCATTATCTGTGGGCCGTGGGGATTGGCGCTCCAAGTGCCTCGGCCCCCTCTGAATGCAGAGCCCCAGACACATGGGGATCCTGAAGAGCATCTCCAGAAAACACAGGGCCCTGGGCCTCATCCCACACCACAAGGGCCCCGGGACAAACAGTAGACAACCCAGACACACATTCCATTCCAAACACAGCCTCATTGACAGTTGTCCCTTGGTGGACCCTGGGAAGAGGCCTGGACAGACCCTAGACACAGGCTTGGGCCCTTTGACCAAGAGTTGGTGGGAAGGGCTCAGAGGAGGAAGTCTTCTTGATCCGTGGAACAGGGCCCTCTAAAGTGCAGGATAGCTCAGAGGAGGGAGTGCTAGCCCCATTGGTCCAGCCCCCTCCCTTGGCGCATGTTCCCCTCAGGTGCAGTGGTTTGAGCAGCAGACTCTGCAGTGGCGTGTGAAGCGCTCCTTAGTGGTGCCCACGGACCCCTGGTTCTCCAAGCAGTGGTACATGGTGAGCGGGCTGGGCCAGGTGGTCGGGCCAGGCCACGCCAGAGTCCCACTGACTCTAGCCTACCCACCCACCCCTGGCACAGAACAATGAGGTGCAGCCAGACCTAAACATCCTGCAAGTCTGGAACCAGGGGCTGTCAGGCCAGGGTATCGTGGTCTCTGTCCTGGATGATGGCATTGAGAAGGACCACCCAGACCTCTGGGCCAACTATGTGAGCCTATGTTGGACTGGGGCAGGGGCTGCCCCCTCCCCCGGTTCCATGACCTATTCCAACCACCTCACATCCCCACCTCACCCCCAGGATCCCCTGGCCAGCTATGACTTCAATGACTATGACCCAGATCCCCAACCACGATACACTCCCAGTGACGAGAACCGGTGAGCCTGGCAAGCCATGGGGCCTGGGGGTAGCCCTTGTGCCCTGTGGGGGCCAGTTGAGCTGTGACAGGCACTCCTCTCTGCCCTGACACCAGGCACGGGACCCGCTGTGCTGGGGAAGTGGCAGCCATAGCTAACAACAGCTTCTGTGGTACAGGCGTCGCCTACAACGCCAGAATAGGAGGTACTCTGCTGCGCCAGGAACAGAGTCTGGATGAGGTGGCACTGGGTGTCTGGTAACACCAGGGAGAGTTGGCTGATAAACCAGGGGAGGAAGCTTCTTGGCGTCCACACCCTGTTGCTCAGCAATGCGAAGACTCAGGGTGTGGAGAGCTGAGCCCTGCACAGATGCCTTTACTCCCCAGGAGCAGAGAGGGAGGCTGGCTAGGGTGTTTGGAGCTGGTCTGGATGGGTGGGGGTGCCAGCAGGACTATCTGCAGAGGACTGACAGCTGCCTATACAGGCGTGCGCATGTTGGATGGCACCATCACTGATGTCATTGAGGCCCAGTCACTGAGCCTGCAGCCACAGCACATCCACATCTACAGTGCCAGCTGGGGCCCTGAGGACAATGGCCGAACAGTGGACGGTCCAGGCATCCTCACCCAAGAGGCTTTCAGGCGTGGCGTAACCATGGTAAGCAGGGCCTAGGGTTTCAGAGGGCCTGTGCCTGCATGAAAGGCTGACACCCCCATCCCCTGTCCTGTCCCCATCTGCAGGGCCGAGGTGGGCTAGGCACGCTCTTCATCTGGGCATCTGGCAATGGTGGCCTGCACTATGACAA